TGTGCAGGTGGGGCGCCTCTGTTTCCGTCTCTCTCCGTGGCGCTGCAGTCCGAACGGCCTGGTCGAGGTACAGCTGGCTCCGTGCGGCCTACCTCCGTTGTGGTGGTTGAGTTTTCCGTGAGAGTAGCTGGGTCCTCGGTCCGGAAGTTGTTTTTTCGTTCTGCAGGTCTTTTGCCGCCGGAGGAGGAGGGTGTGGAGGTGCCGGTGGTTGCCTCCGCCGGTTTGGGTGTTGTTTGTGTTGGTGTTTGTTTATTTGTTTTGTTTGTGTTGTCTGTTTGTTGTTTTTTCTGTTTTGTTGGTGTGGTTAGGTTCAGTTTGGTGTCTTTGTGTGTTCGTTCTCTCATTTGGAGAGATTTGAAGTTTAGACAATGCCCGTCACTTTGTGCGGGGGTGCTATAATTGCGTTAGGTGACTTGTAGTCGGGTTTTCTTGTATTGATAAGCCACAGTTGTAACTTCGTTGTATCTTGGATAGTATTCCAGACTTTGTCTCAAGCTATTTGGCTTGTTTCGTCTGTAATCGGTTTATCCGTTTGATTAATGACAAGTTCTTATCAAAAAAGAAAAAAAAAATTATTAGGTTTGATAATTTATTTAAATTTAGAGTTAATTACAGAGACATGCCCTAAAATTACTGACAATTACAAAGATACCCTCCATCTTTTTATAAATTATAAAAATATACGATGAAGTTTACATTTTATATTATTTTGAATCTTTTATTACATCATATATGTACTATATATTCATTTTAAGAAAAAAAATATTATTTCAATGAGATCGTTTGTTATTGTTATTTCTTGATATATTAATATTTTCTCTAATTTTTACTTTCTATACTCTAAAAGCCTATATTGTATTGAATTTTAAAAATTAAATTATTACAATAATACAAATAACGATAATGTTGGAAAAAAATTGAGTTATGACTGACTTTGGCATGATTTTTGAGCAGGACCCGTTTGACTATTTTGGAAAATGAAAGTTGATTTGTGTTCTCCTCCATAAGTACATCGAAATCATATACTTGTCAAAAATGAAGTTCGGATGAATGAGAAATTGAA